TATTAAATTGCATTCAACTTTTCACCACCACCAGTTGTCAGTCAGTTTAGTCGTAGGAAGAAGGTTGCAAGTTATGTACAATGCTTATTCTTTTAGTTCCGTGCTGTGGTTTTCATTTACATTGCAACTGAAATTTCATGTCCAAGTCTATTACTTTGTAAATAAGTAATTGAACTACGCAAATTCCACTCATTAATGCAGATGCACTAGAGCGAAACTTTGAGATTTCATGTTTGCAATGGGATCTCAGAGTCAAAAACTTGCATGAACTCTGTGTTCGCAACGCTGAAACTCATTCAGCGAGGGGATTTGTTCGTTTGACGTGTTAAAAGTCATCTTTTAATGGAAGGGGGAAATATTTTGAGCATGAAACCATAAAACAATTAGAGTCGGTGTGATATCTCACGAATCGTCATTCTAAACCAAGAACCTTCTCTGGTGGCAATACTGTTTTCTGCACTTTGCACTTGGTGATGTGAGGTACGTGTGTCTGCTGTCTCACACTTACCTCGCCATGTACTTCTGACAAGAATGACCAGTTTATGCTGCTGCTGCTGCTGTTACATAAGAATTCCTGCCGGCTACACTAAAGTAATTGGCTGTGATGCTTAGTCAGGACGATAAGCAAAATAACTTAGAAACTTTCAAAGTTTATTTTATATATGGAATCCCGTCACTGCCTTCCCCCGTCTACACCTCAGGACTACCAGACCAGTAGCTCTGCGGCTGGGAAGGAAGGAGAAGGTGGAGGACAGATGAAGTAACAGTAATAACAGTGAAACGATTCCAGAGTAGGCTCTTTTACAACCGATTAAATTCCTCTGGGTTGCACCTTTTCTGTACTTTTCTGTACGGCACTTTCCTCGCTTTATTGGAAATGGGAGCACACTGTAAAATATATGTTGTGGAGTCGAGTCGTTATCCTACCCGAGATTGTGCCCATCGACGAGGTGTGAATCAATTTTCTTATGGATTGGTCCGTATCGCTTTTGAACTTTTTGACTGGATGAAGAGATTTCATGCAGATTCGCCAAGGAAGCAAGGTTTGGTTTAATTTGGTTGGAAAAGAAATCTGGTTCATTAGGTTTCTCTCGCTATCTGAGTATCTTTGATCCTGTCGTAGCTAAAATAGAGCCGCATTTTGCAGAGGGTTTTGCTAGTGTGAGAAACCGCAAAGACCGACATTTCTACATCCTGACGAAGACTATCACTTTCATTGATCGACCCAAGGAGCTCATTTAAACGTCCTATTAGTGAACTTTCAAGAAATAAAAATTTATGGGCAACCCAGCCAACCCACCACCAGCAACCACCACTACGTCTTCCACAGCCAGGAATATATACAGACAGCAGGGTTATATCTATGCTTTAACGGGAACGACGACGGTCGATACTCCGATATCTGCGTCGTTGTCCGCCCTTTTAAGTACCACAGATCTGCTGTCTATAAGATATTTGTGCTCATTACAGACGAGGGGTTGCTCGTTGGATGGATGTCAACCCCTCCTTCACAGTATTAAGTCACACCACGAAATAAGAGGAGAATGCTTTCCGTGCATCAAACTTAACTCTTATTTCTTTCTCGGCTCTCGTATCAAAATTTTTTGGACCTTGTTTCACTATAAACTTGTCTAGAATTCGTTCATACGTTACCCTCGCAATGGGACTCGGGTCGTTATAATAATAATACCATGTCGGTCGTAAACGCGGAGATATATGTAGCACCACAAGGCACCAACAATCAACTGTGGGGTATCAAATGTTGATCATGATCATGGAATGGATGAGCAACCACCTTACGTACGTACTTGCTGACGGAGATAGACAGACCATTAAAAATTAACGCTTGATTGGGTTTATCACAATTGATGGAGTCTAGAGCATCCGCGATAAGAGATGTGTGCAGTCCTTTCATCCTCCTTTCTAACGCTTGGTTCATGATGATGGACCATTTTCGTGGATCCTGAAAGTTGACTCTCAGCTCTCTGTATCATGCCCATTGTTGTTTCTCACAATGGAATAAGTAATTAGCTGAGTACATTGTTCCCAATACCACTTACACGTTTAATTTGAATACTGAAGAATGAAAAGTTGAATCGCGTTTACCAAGCTGGTATAAAATGAAAGCGGATCTTGAATATTGGAAACTTGTGAATTGCTCTCGGTGTAATTGCGCAACATATGTGGGTCACATTCCTCCTGCAATTACTGGGATGGTGGGGTGACCTTTCATTGATTGTTCTGTCCATCCGACCAGCACCGTGGTGGATGGTGATGTAATGGGCTACGTAACACACTAAAGCTGGACTGTTGAACCTGAGGAAACTAGCTGCCACTAAAAGTGACCATTTCCACGTGATTAAATATAAATTGAACAGTATTCATGTGGGCAAGTGATGTGTTGACCTGGTGGGCTTGCTTCATGATACTGTGTGTTCTGGAGGACCCACATTGTATTTACTTTCTAAATTGGGTTGTTCCTCGAATGAACCTGGGGCTTTCAATTTCGTTCATTGCATTCCGCATCATCAACCCCCACCTACATATTTGAGTACGTATGGAGGTTGATGACGGTGACAGTGCTGGTAATTGAGTGACAAGCGGAACATGCGGCCAAAATACGCAAATTTAGCGTGAAATCATTGAAACTTCCACTTGGATGGATCAACAGATATATTTAAATAATTAGGGTATGGTATCTCCATATTGCGTAGATAGTTGTTGTTATTCCTTAATTTCCAACCCTCATAAAACTCTAGCTTTTCTTTGTAAAGCCAAACTTTAAAACGACCCACAAGGATAACGAGTCGGAAAAGTGATTGACCTGGAGTTGGTCCTTCGTATAGTGTAGCTTTACCACCCACACACAACAGTGAATTTTTTTTTGTATGAAGGTTGTATGTATAGCTTAACTTTGCACAAGATAGTAGCGGTGGAAGCATGTCGTGAGTTGGGCTGAGTTAGGTATTGTTACGTTTGGTTGAATGGATGGCTACACTTGGCATGGCACGAAATTGCGTAGATCACACTTTGACTTTGGTCTGTGTTCTTGTTGAAACACACACACGACTGGCAACGACTGGTTGTCTATACGTATGTACAGTACACCTATCTCGCACCATTCTTATGTAACGCTCGACAAGATTCGCTGCTGCTCAAAAGGCAAAGAAACGTGGGAATGTGGGGCTAGGAGGTTTAAATTTTGGATCCCTTCTGATCTATATTTTACTGGATTTCTTGCTTTCTCCAGACGCTCACTCGCACTCTTTCATGTTCAGAGATTCCATTGCGGAGCTGGAGAAAACCGGCAACCAGAGCTACACACGAAGCAAGGAGGATGGATGCAGTCCCTGCAGTGCACATGAAATGGGGTGACCTTAGAAGCAGTCGTAGTGAGTGAGGGTGGTCAACTTACTACTTTTCACGTGTCTAACGCAATATTTCCAACATCACTTTCATCAAATCCATATCTATCTGTGTGGGAGTGAAACATAAGGAAGGAATTTCGGTCTCTTCACTTCCCTCATGGGTTTAGTTACCCTTGTTCTCTTGCATCGGATTGTGTGTGTGTGTGTCCGTCCGCCGCGACCTTTTATCTAACTTTTCCTTCCTCCTCCTCTTTTCGTTTCGTTGTTGTTGTCGTCGTCGTCCTTGTTGTCGGCCTTAGCAGAGGTTTCCTTCTCCTTTCTCGAGACATGGACTGCCGGACTTGTGTTTCTTTCACTTTGTCTTTCTCATTCTTCGTCTTCTTAGTAAACCCGCTCGCCCAACATCGATTTTCTGGCTTCTTTGGTTTGGCTCACTCTCCCTTCGTTCGTTTATCTTGCGTTAGTTTGGTTGATTTTGCTCCGTCTTTCCATTGTCTGTCCATCTGTATCGAAATCCGAATCAAGTTCAATTACAAATTTACCACATCATATTCAGTACACTCTTCACCACCCTGTCCATTCCCCCAGCAGGAGCAACTCTTCTGGAAGAAAGGGAGCTTATGGTGACCACCTAAATCCACCTTTCATCCACAACTAGTGCGTTGCTAAATGGCTCGATCTTGTGTCTTAGGACAAAATTCAGGCTTTGATCGACCTACGAGTTGGTCAGTCAGGAGTTAAGACCGCCGCAGCCTGTTTTATTACGGGTATGGGTTTCCTTGCTTGCGTTAGAGCAGGGTCAGATATCATACGAGTAGATCGCGAAGTGGTCACATTGCACAAGTCAACTGAGCTGGATCTCTAAAACATTTTGGAGGATTTGTTTGTTTGTTGCCAAAAAAGAAATGTGGAAATGGAAGGCAAGAAAATCCAATAAAAACTTGAGAACTTTCCAATAAATGTACCGCGCACTACTTTCTAGAATTCTTTCTTTCTCCTTCGCGTCAACTTGTTACTAAATGCATCACATTTTGAGCTGTGTCCAGTCACAACAAGAACTTATATTCAACTTATACACGGTATATTCATGTCCAACTCTGGCTGGTCAAATTTCCAGCTCCATGTATGTATGTATTTCTTTGAATGTTTGCAAAAAGTTTGCAAAAGTTCGCTTTTGGTTTAAGAAAATCATAATTTGTCTGCCGGGTAAAAAAAATGTTGTAAACAAGGGCTGAAGTTTTGGTTGAGTTGACCATTAAGTTATTTTTTAGATATCACAACATGGCATGGCGTAAGTAAAGTAGCATCAACAAGAAAGAGCTCAAAGCTAACAACCACCACACGACGACCACCACCCGAACAACAACAACTACTACTGGCAAACCAACTATGTATGTATGTACCATCATCTCGGTTAATAGTTGTTGTTGGAAAAGGAAAACATCCATAATGACATTCCACTTACTTTCTGCGAGGCTGCTGCACGGACGGAGAAAGCAAACGCTCGTGTATTTGTCAGAGCATAATGAGGATATCATAGTGTTTTGCTTTCTTTACGTATTCCATTCCACTTCTTTGAAGAAAATAATTGGACATTTTCCTAAAATGCGTTTTGTATGCTTTTTATTACAGCTCCTGCTCTCGTCAGTGCACAGGGTGGACCATTACGGAGACATTGAGATGGACCCAGGTTATGCAATCTTGCCGGACACAACGCTGGACCCGTCCGGCCGCTACATTTACTCAATCAGCAGTAACAAGGTACTTCACTCAATAGCCTCATTTTCTCCGCCAATCGCCCTATTTCCATCAACCACAAACCCACCAAAACTCCCTTCTTGATCGTCTCCTTCCTTTCTCCATCATCCTCCCATTCGGGAGAAATATACTCGCCCTGTCCAGTCTCCAAAATTATACATCTCCTTCCAAATTATCCTCATCATATCCTTGCCCACCACCACCACTGCTCCTGCACTTTAATCACGTCCTCATCCTCCACACATTAGACAGCAGGACAGGAAGCGGAACTGTAAATGGTATTAGCCATCATCATCATCATCCCCGCGTATGATGATGTTTTGCTTTCGTTTAACTCGTTCCTGGTTTCCTGCTCCAAATACTAACTGATTTTTTGCGACGTGATTTTTTGTGGGTAAAAAAAATTGTAACTTTTCCTGATTCACAGCTCATACAAAGAACTTGGAGAAAAGTGACGCGAGAAGCTGAAATTATAAACCCTTTATATTTAACCGGGAGGATTTTTTGTTATCTTGCATTCATTCCTCACCCTGGCTCTTTGCTTCATTAAATAAATGCGTCATTTAGTTTTCTGCTGCTGCTGCTGTTGTTGTTTGTGGAGTACATTTCCTTGTCGCCTATTCCGGTATCTTGTTTACCCACCACAAGGACAAACGGTTTGTAACTGTCTCTGAGCTTTTTTGATGTCTATTCGATTTTATGTTACGTCTTCTGTCCTCGCATCTTTTGACGTGCTCAACTTTTATGTGTTTCCTGAAAATTATAATTTTGGCAAGCTTGTGAATATGGTCTTGCCAGAATTTTGCTGGTTTGACATACCTCAACTTTTTTTAATACACAACAGCAAAAGGAGAGTCGAAGAGTTAATAGTATAAGCAGTGTTTTGCAGTTGGCTTTGCTTTCTTTTTTATGAATCTTTTCATAGTCCGGCTTCTCCTCCTAATAAAAACTTGCTCATTTTATTAAGGATAGAATGGAGCGGAGCAAGTGAAAATGTTCAAATTGGGCTGGAATTGCCGTGTTTCTTGTGAAATAAAATGGAATTTCCCATTTTTAGGTCGTTGAGCTTGGGATTAGCTTTTATCGACCATTGAGGAGTTTATTCCGCAATATAGGGAGAGGCGAGAAGGGACAGTGCATTTGGGCTGATGCAGCTTCCTCTCGTTGAGAAACCACTATATTTCCTTCTTTAGGTGGGAAACACTATTCGATGGCCTCATTAAATTGCAATTGCTGGATTTAGATTGAATGCAACACAAGATTAAACTGCTGTCTGAGCTCAACTAAGAAGGGGAGGTTGTGTACTATCAACTCCCGGATCTCGATGCCCTTTGGATATGTTGTAGTGTCCCATGAATGTACAAGAACCCTGAAGCGGTTTGATGCCATGGCCACATTTGCGCCTGCCACACCCACTCAAAGGTGCCCAAAAACCGCTTTCACTCCAGCTTTCACTCACTTAAATTTACCCCAAAAATCCAATTTTACTCGGATTTTCAAATTTCTTTCACCATTATGCTCCCAGACAGTTGCTTTCTTATTTCCAACACCAAACTCAACTTGTTTGATGTTTATTTCGCAGGCATAATTAGCTTTGTTGATTGCTACAACAATGCTCATTCAGAATTTTAAATTTTAAAAATACTAAAAAAATTGAAAAGTCGAGTTTGATGTTGGAAATAAGAAAGCAACTGTCTGGGAGCATAATGGTGAAGAAATTTGAAAATCCGAGTAAAATTGGATTTTTGGGGTAAATTTAAGTGAGTGAAAGCTGGAGTGAAAGCGGTTTTTGGGCACCTTTGAGTGGGTGTGGCAGGCGCAAATGTGGCCATGGCATCAAACCACTTCAGGGTTCTTGTACATTCATGGGACACTACAACATATCCAAAGGGCATGGAGATCTGGGAGTTGATAGTACACAACCTCCCCTCCTAAGTATTTGGCCCCTCGTTGTCCTGGCAGTGACCAGAGAGAAAGTTGTACCGCTTCGTTATTTCCTGTTGACTTGTCTCCCCGTTAACCAGGATTTGTGTCACCTGCGAACTATGTAGTCGTTTAGGGGGTGGTGAAAGTAAATGTGAAAGCACTTGTTGTTGGCTACGAAATGTTGCCAGACTCGCGGTCCAATCAGACACATAATTAGAAAAGCTGTCTAATTTACCATCCGTTCGTTCGCAATTTCCTTTTTAATTGTTTCTTGATTAAGTTTCAATCACTTCCATTTAACCCAAGTGTTTTATCTACATCCGATTTACGAAATCAATTTTGCTAAGTTGGAATTTTATTTCTTAACGTGAACATTTTATTTCTCATTTCAGGTTCTCAAAGCACGAGTTGAGCAATGTGAGATGCATCAAAATTGCAGCACTTGTCTCTCCTCGCATGATCCGTATTGTGGATGGTGTTCCCTGGAAAAAAGGTGAGTTAATTACGTTGTCTTATAAAGTTAACAATTTATTTTTACAAATAACTTACTCTTAACGCTTCTGCTTTCATATTTATGTATTAAGAATATTTACGAAAATTATGAACTTAAATAAATTTAAGAATATACAATGATCGAATCTCAGTATGTGTAATAGTACACTTATCGCATTGTACATATTGTATTAAAATTTTATCAAATTATGCAATAGTTGCGCAACATTCGCTAGTCTTGATAACCAGAAGTCTGAACTTCCTAAAGGCTATTTCATGCATAAAAAACTCGGGAATTACGAGCATGAATTTTTTCAAGTTGTTCGCTATTTCATTTGATGCAGAAACTGCATCAAATGACTTTCACTCGAGCGGAGAAGTTATATGAGCACACTAATGAAATAATTCTGGGCAAGTTAGGTGAAGTCTTGGAAGAGAATTATGTTGTGAGAATCAAATTAAGCCTTTCTCTCTGTGTGTGTAGCTGGGAAAGTAGCACCTAAGGCCGCCTAAATTTCCCCCTTTCCTCCGTCTTACTCTGCTGCATGCATGCACTTGTGCTCATTTAGAAACTACACAGTACAAAGTGAATGCAAGAGAAAATTAACAAAGTGGAAAATGAAAACTTGGTCTCCGCCCTTGATGTGACATTGGCTCGTGTGTGTTCTTCAGCAGACGAGGCCGTTGCACATGCAACTTTTACCCTTAGAGTTCAATGCTTTGTTTATCCTCGTTGTTATGTAAGGGTTTTGGCATGCACGTATTTGTATTTTGGTGCTTTCTCCTCTCGCATATTTGTATAATGGGTTAGATTTCTGGCTGTCTGACTGGTGGCAGCCGGTGCTCAATGTGTTGTAGGTCATGTCAGAACTGATTGAATGTTTTCTACGTCGAACTTGGAATCTAAATTGACTTTGAGTGAGTTTTGTTGAGTCAGGCTGACAGATCAGCCGATCTATTTCACTCTCTGACTCGAGACGCGATGTTGAGAGAAAGTTGGGAATCTTCTTATTCTTATTCCGCCCTTTCAGACCAGATTTGAGTTACATGGAGGCAAACCCACCCAACTCGACCGGCCTTGCTTTGCATTCCCGTGAATTTCTTTGTCTGATGATAAATCTGACTTCCGTTTGGAAACCTGACTGGTAAAATAGACAAAATATATTTCCATCCGTCATCCAAATTTGCAAGTAGGGAAAGGAGTTTTTTGCAATATTAGTTCCCTAAATAGCAATTCGGATTGCTTCAATTCATCTTTGTGAATAGTCGAGGAGAGAAAGTGACGCTGGGCCTGCCCCTCTCGAGTAGTTGTATCAGGTGGAATGGGGCACAAGATAAAAACTAATGTACCACCTTTTTCCGCTGCTGTCTTACTCTTATTACACTTTTTTCCTCTTTTTTATTGATGAGCTCGTTGATTTGGGGCTGAACTCATTTTGGGACTGGGATGAGAAAGGTGAGCAGATGTTTCTCATGCAGAAAAGATTGTCGAATTTTTGCCTATTTTAAGAACCTTTATTCCCACTATTAAGCGATACGTATCTGGTTCTCGTTCGTGGTAAATTCTTGGGTAAAGCTCATGGGTGAACACTTCCCTCGACATAAAATCAATGAATTCTAACCACCGGTAACACGGGCGAGTTTTTTTTATTTCCGTGCTGCTGCAGCTCCAGCTTCCGTGTGGAAGGGTTGTGGTGGTCGTGGGATGGGAATCCGAGAAAGGTTTCACATTACAAACTCACTCACTCTCTTCACTAGATTTTTCTACGCACAATTGTGAGTCAGCTTTCTTCAGATTTTTCTGCTTAAGTAGATAGCACTTCAATTCCTTGTCTGTGTCACTCAAGCAGGAATCTCCTCTCAGCTCTAAAGCCAACTCCTCCACATTCTTCTTGTCATTTTGATCCAGACAGAAATATAACTTCGCCGTGGCACCCTTTCCACTTTGGCTTTAGTCTCCACTCACCACCATCAAGGGCAGGTTGCAATCTAAATTAAACGCATGTTACAAATTTTCATTTCTTTCGACAGATTTTCTATGTGAATTTTTTTTTGTTTCCTTTAGAACTTTGCAATGTTGACAGTGAAAGTTTGTTTGTGTTGAAAAGTAGAGAGGAGGAGGGTGCGTCCTACTTGAGCTAGATAAGTTTGGCGCTGTTGGAAAAAGTGGTTTCAAAAATCTGTTAGAAAAACAAAAGAAGAAAGTTAATGCTATTGCGCTCCTGCTGCAGGGAATGTTTTGACTGGATGCGTGTAAATATGTATGGAGTAGGGACGAAGGTTGCATTAGGGTCCATTTTCCTCGTCCATCGGTGTTTTGTTGATCAAGATCTCGATCATCTATGGATTCTAACGACCTAACGCCTTCTTTACGATCCGCCATGAAACCAATATCATGGTGTGAGATACGGATTAGATCGTAAAATGTTTGATGCCTACGTTTTATTTATATTGTCCCCTAATATTCGTAAATTCATACTTTAGGGTAAGTGGGATAGCGTGTTGTTCGCTCTGCTTTATGTCCACCCATCCATCCGTCCTCCTAAAACTAAAAGGGAGAGACCCCTCATTTCCGTCGTCTTGTAGAAAATTGTGCTAAAATGCACGAAATACTTTACAATTCAATCGTAATATTTTCGCGTAAATTTTACACTCGAGACGTGTCGAAATCTAACAATAACTTTCACACTGTATCCAGTTCCTGCCAATTACGGGTTGAAAAATCATGTCACATTATTTTTGTGGTTTGCTTTTTGCCAATCTAATATTGTTTTGGAAAGGGTTCGAGAGACAAGTGCTTCTTTGCAACATGGTTCGTACGTGGGGCTCAGGTTAATTGTGTCGCAATTTAATAGGTCACTGAGCCTCGACTCGACTCACTGCACTCTAGAGAAGAAGAGAGCCTGTGTTGGTAGAGAGGGAGATGGAAGACATGATTTTATAGGCAATTAAGATGTCCGAAGCCGAAGTTGGGACACTATTAATTTTTTATTGTCGTGTAGAGTCGTCTCAGTTCATAAATGTGTCTTTTGTTATCTTCTTCATTCTTTTTATGTTGGGAGAGAGCCACGTGGAGCAGATATATTGTTCCGAGATACGAGTGCAAGGATTTTGCCAAGTTTATGAAAACATTAGCCCATTTTGGGTCCTTGTTATCCATCAGTTTCAAACAAAACGACTAAAACTTTAAAACCTTTTCACTTTAATTTAATTTCATCTCTGAAAGAAGAAAAATCAGGTTGAATAAGATCTCTCACGTTCCTCCTGGCTTTAAATCTGAAAGTCAAATTCTTCATCTGCTGGGAATGTGGAAAAGTGAAATTCATACGGGCTGATCAATGAAAATGAAGAGTGGCACATTAATGGTGGTTGTGGTGATGCTTGGGTGGTAAAAGTCCAACCGAATTTAGATTTTTCCACAACAAAGTTATTATACAAGTCTCTTGCCCGTTTCAACTAGAAAAGTCTGAGAACAACTTTGTTTTCTAGCACCCACGGGACTCGTCTCTCGCAAATTTTTGACTGTGTGCGAGTGAGAATAGCGAAGAAATAAAATCTGATTTAAGTCTTCAACCAACATTCGCCTCGTACATAAGTATTCTCAAGTAGAAGCGGTTGAGCTGCTTCCTGATTAATATGTCTTGACCGACATAATTTATGGTTGGAGTTCAGAGGAGAATAATTCCCTTCTCCTCTGCTGGGAATATATACGTATAAAGCTGCCAATAAACACTGCTGGGAAAAGTTGCTCTTCTGATTTCAATGTTCGAATCTAGAGCACCTTCGCCCTTTATGATTCCACACTTTTACAACGTACGTTCTACTCGTTTACACGCGTCAAACGACTCGAGGATTACTCGTCTGCTGCTTCATTGCAGTACATTACATAACACAACGTACGTAATTAATTGTCCAAGTCGAGTTTGGTTTAGGAAGTGAAGCAAGCAAAATTTCGGTTGGGGTGGTGGTATGTCGACTAACTAACTACGTAGATATCTACACACACCAGACGATTGTGGTGATTCCCATGATTTAAGGAGGAGAAGCAAATGAAGAGTTTATTTCAATTTTCTCCTGTAGGAGTTGTTGAGTCAGTTTGTAAATTGAACATCATGTAGGATGAAGGAGAGTGAGTGGGAGAGAGAGTGAGCAGCCGGAATTTGAAATCAGATGATAAATGAGGGTGCTACTTTCTCCATAAGTGAAAGCAATAAAGTTTTATGCAAGGATGTAATGGGGATTAATGGGATGGTTTATTTTCTGATAAATAAGACCTTTCAACCCGAGTGAATTTGGACCCTAGAGTAAACTTGAGTGAAAGTCTTAAGTCTTGACTTCTTAAACATGTTCTCGTGTGTTACACAATGTTCCATCCATTCCACCCTCGAAGATAGTCTTCTGACTCCCTGCTCTAGTCAAGCAAAGGACGAGACAAAGTAGGACAGACGTTTTGTCAAAGTGTCAGGGAAGAAGAAACACACGATTGGGACAGATCTTCTCCGCCATTCGCACGTCGCCTCTGTATTTTAGTTCCACGAAATGAGTGGATACGATATATAATATATTTCTTCACTCTTCGTTTGCTCGGCTCTTTCGATTTACCCTCAGACCAAGTTCAGTCATGTGCGTCTCCTACTTTGCATAAGTGCACATGTACTTTTATTTTGCCTGCTTTGAACAAGTTTCCAGGAAATTTAAATACATGTTTAAAGTGGAGGGAGAAGAAACATGTGCAGTTAAGCCGTCTGCATTATGAGTGTGAAAACAAATAGTCTACGAGCGATGTATTTATGGAGAGATATGTACGTATACAACAGTAAGTTGTACGTTCCATTGTTTCTTGGGCTATTAAGACCATTGAGAGAATGTGTGAAAACATGGCGAAACATAAGTTAGCTGACCCAGCGACTACATACCTCCGCCGCAGGATTGCTTAACAAGTAATGTCGTCCGTTATTTCCTCCAAGATTGGAGATTAGATTTGTCGTAACTGTACCAAGA